GGAGATGCTTCTTACCTGGAGCTGGGCAAGCATACAGTCCAGGCCGACTTGTTCGTTAGTGTCTGATCAGCAGCCTTCACCATTGAGAGCAGATAGGATAAGACTTTTCTTTCTGCAATTGTGAGGTTCGGAGTGATCCGAGTGCGTCACTTGCTAACAAACAAACCAGTATCAGATTGCACCTACAGTTACTTGTTGTGCAATACTATCTTGGGGTAGTGCAAGGATTTCGCGAGCTTTTACCAGAACCGAAAGGATTCCTGGATGTTGAGCAATGTGTGTTTTGGCAAAATCGTCCCCCAGCAATAGTAGTTGACTAACGTGCTTGAACCAGGGCTGAATTGCCTCTCAGGCAGTCGCCTCTCAGTCAGTCCCGCCCTTGCAGTTTATTGTTGATTATTGAGAGATTACGGTGCGAAGAGGAAGCCGACAAATCCCTCACCGTTACTTGGCTCGTTCATTCAGACCGTTACCAGGCTGCAGCGCGCCGTCGGTCGTGTTTGATATTGTGGGGCAGCTTACCACAGTGGGCTCTATGGAAGCGGCGACGGCCGCATGGCCTGCAAGGCTTAAAAGTGACGCAAATGGCAGCCCTGCCTTGTCGGCGCTTCGATTGGTTGCCGAGACCCTTCAATAACAGATGACAAGACGCTTGCTGTGGCCACAGGACGCATGGGAAGCAGTGACGGGTGTGCCGTTTGACAGATGATGTCGCAGGGACAGCCCCGAACGCAATTCCATCGCAGTTACGGATCCTGTCCCGCCTCACGGCTGGAGACTCCAGAGATACTTGTGCACCTAAACATCCACTATCGCAACGTCTTGGCACGGGAACGAGGAATTTTTTTGCAGACCTGGAGACCCTTCTCGGTGGGGCCGTTCGGGACTTGACTGGTTGGTGCTCGGCTACAGCAGGAGATTCGAGGGTGATAAGTCAGTACCTCCGGCATGAGAAGAGGTCGCTAGCCCACACTTCGTAAAACGACGGTGCTCCGATCGTGACGGCGGCCTTTCTCCGCGATGAGCAAACAAGCGCATTGGCGTACGCAATTTGCAACATCGCATCGTTCAGAGGTGGATCCAAATTCTTAACTGGCATAGAGTTAGATTTTGAATTTCCCGCCGAAACGGCACCGTTTGGGGTTGCGTGCCCAATTCCGAATTTGAAGGTAGAAAAAAATGTTAGCACGTACCATTTACCCCACACCCACGAGAAAGCTTGGCAGTGCGATTTTCAACCTTTTGCCACTGCGTGAACTCAACTGAGTGAGTGGACAAAATCAGTCCCAGTCACTTCGAGTCATTCAGAAAACCGACTCTTTCCCGTTGATACCGCACATCAAACGGCATCATGGGTGTCACTCCGTCAACGCGAACAAAGACGAAGACTCGTCGGCATTTGCGGTGAGTTTAGCCATGTTGCGCCTCCTATCGAACGGATACTAACTTTTGGCATAGGGATATCGACCAGATTAAGGCCGATCTCACGTCGCCCAGACACCTAGAGCTGTTCAAGCTGACAAAGGCTCCTGAAGACCTGCCTGGTCTTGGACAGCATTACTGCATTGAGTGTTCAAAGTGGTTTGCCACGGAGCCTGACCTGACCGTCCACCAAAAGGGCAAGCCTCATAGGAGAAGGTGTGTCCTGTCTTTTATCACCATCTCTGCTAAACAGGCCACATACTAACGAGCCTTTTCCCATTTTCAGAGTTAAGGCCCTGGAACGCCCGTACACCCACCAGGAAGCAGATGCTGCTATCGGTCTTTGGACTGATAATGGCCCCGCGAAGACAAAGACCCAAGAGGTTGAGATGTCATGAGCGCCGCTCTCCTCCTTTCTATATCTTTCTATGAGAAGGTCAAAGGTCTTATTTCCTTGATGCATGCTCGGTTTGGGTTCTAGATTTGCAGGGGCGTTTGTGCAGGTAAAAATAGGCAGTTGCGGCGTCAGGTTTTCAGGGACAGGCCGATGCTCTCCGAAGCGAAATGGCCGTGGAACTCGGTATTAGCATTGGCGGTTTGCGGCTTTGGGATATTTTAGGAGGTTTGCTAGACATAAATCAAGCAACCCAACCCCTAAGTCGTTTGCCTGTGCAGTTGATCTTGAGACATGTCAAGACCATGCTGAAATACCCCGATATATGCATAGCTGCATTTTCTACTTTCATATTTCTACCCCACTCACAAGCATCTATCTAATAAACGATAAGCAGCAACCGCCAAATTGTTAGCGTAGCCCAAAGCCTCGCATCGGCCTTGCGCAGGAGAGGCTCTCTGTGTTTGATGTTTGCTGCCGCACACCTGAAGCGCATCACGAACCTGTCTCGCCGAGCCATGGGTACTACAGCATACTCTGCGTATGCAGCGCAGAATGGCTCTGCTGACGGCGTTCACACCGTCACTGCCGTTGGTAGATGGTCAATTCTGAACAAGCAGCTTCCTGCCGCCGACAAGATCAAGGCCATCCACATCTACGACTTTGACAACACGCGTAAGAATGCAACTTCCGCGGACTGGGCGGGCATCACTGACAAGAAATTCCGCCCGCAGTCTTCAAGACCCCTCTCCCAAACCCGAAGATCTGGAACGGCCCCACGATAGGCACACTTGCCAACCCCGATGCTTTTGTCAATGGCGGATGGTGGCACGACTCCCGCATCCTGGCCGCGACTGGCGAAGGCCATGTAAAGGAGGAGACAAGAGCATGGAACGGATGGTGGAACGAAAAGATCGTCGAGCTCATTCAGCTCAGTATGGAGCAGAAGGATGCCCTTTGTGTGCTGTTGACAGGCCGCTCCGAGTCGGGCTTCAGCGACCTGATCAAGCGCATGGTCACGAGCAAGAATCTCGATTTCGATCTGATTTCTTTGAAGCCTGCTGTTGGCCCCAGCAACCAACGATTCGCTAGCACCATGAACTTCAAGCAAATGTTCCTTACGGCTTTGATGGAGACATACAAGCACACTGAGGAGATCCGCATATATGAGGATCGACCCAAGCACGTCAAAAGTTTTCGCGACTTTCTGACAGACTACAACAAGAAACAGAACGGCATCGGCGGTCAGCGGACCCGTGGGCCTATCACTGGAGAGGTAATCCAGGTTGCTGACATCGCTACCAACCTGGACCCCGTCATGGAGGTAGCTGAAGTCCAGCACCTCATCAACGACCACAACGCTGCCCTTTCCAAGCGCAAGCGAGGGGTCAGAGGCGAGCGCCTCATGATCAAGAAGACTGTCTTCTACACGGGCTATCTGATCAACACCCCTGACACGAAGCGTCTGCTCTCTCTTGCCCAGATCCCGCACAATCTGCCAGACACAGAACTAAAATACCACGCAAATAACATCATGATCTGTCCCAGACCGTGCCCCACCAGCATCCTAGAGAAGGTTGGCGGCATGGGCAGCAAAATGAAATGGGAGGTGACAGGAACCGCATGCTTCGAGAACAACATTTGGGCGGCGTGTCTGAAGCCTGTTCCCTCCACCGCAAAGTTTCACACAGACAATCCCAGTCCTCTGGTTGTCTTAGCGCTGCGGAAAGGTGCGCGTCCTGTGGATGCAGGAAAGATCCAGAACTGGCAGCCCGTGCCCCCTGAGAAGGCCTTCGTCTTCGAGACTGTTGTAGGAGAGAAGGTCCTACTTCGGATCGAGGCGGAAGACCCCGGGGAAGGCGAATATGAGAGCCTATTCCCGCACAAGGGGTCGAAGAGAAAGCATACAGCTGGAGATGAAGACTTTCGCTCTAGGACGGGCCACCCGCATCCCACTGGCCCTCGGAATGACCAAAGAAACTTTCACCAGCCCAACCATGGTGGCCGTGGTGGACAAAACCAAGGACGGTTCCGCGGAGGTAATTCGGGCTCAAACCGAGGGTTCAGGGGACAGCGAGGAGGAGCACCCAAGGGCCGCGGCGGTCGAGGCGGTGGCCATCACTACAAGTCGCTCGACGATATGGGGACGCGGGAAAATCAGGGCGGGTTTATGCAGCAGGTCTCTTACGAGGACGACCCGCAGCGCAACTTCAACCCGCCGACCCAGCCAGCCCAGCATAATGCAAACCAAGGCTACCATTCCCAGGGGCAAAATCAGGCGCCGTCCTACCAGCAGCAGCAGCCACAGCAGCAATATGGCAATTGGCCTCAGCAGCAGCAGCAGCAGCAGCAATCACAGCAGCGTGGTCAGCAGCAGGGGCGGGGGGGTGGCAATGGAAACGGGAATGGGAATGGGAACGGCTATGGCGATATGAACAATTTCTACTGAAAGGGACGAAAAAAGAATGCGTGTAACATCAGTATACCCCGTCTCACGAGCTCTTTAGTCGATTTGTACGGCTTTGGGATGGGAAACGGAGTTGGAGGCAAAATTGCCGGCTTAGGGGTTGCACATGGAACGGAAATCGGCATGATATATTAGGGAGTTTGTGCCTTTTATTTCCTCACGGAGAGAACGGCTTAGCGATGTTTACCATGCAGTATTTTGACATGGATGTGAAGCTTAGCGATAATTAACTGTCCAAACCTGACCTTGCATCCACTGGTACTGGTGTGCTTCGTCTTGCTTGAAACCTTTGTTTGAAGTGAAGCCGGCTCATACGGGAAGCTGAACGCTGGCAATCTCGCGCTTGCATCTGAGAAGATATCGACATGATTGAGAGCTTTTAGATTCTCCAGGCGCATCTCCGAGGAGCTTCGATGTTCACATGTCTCCTTCCAGCCCCTGAATCCTGACCGACGTCCCCCATCAAGAGGGTTTAAACTTCAGGAGAACATCAACACAACTTAGCGTTTCTCGAGTTATCCCAAATACCAGAGTCGTGTTTTAAGATGTCAATTAACAACTATGTGCTTGCATGTACCATCCAGAAGAGCACAGGGTGGTATGTGACTCGGGGTACTAGGAATAGAGGCTGCATGTGATCTAAGAATGCCGGTCCACCGTTGTGGCTCCTCCTAGGCCTATTTACGGAGCCAAAGGACAGTCAAATTCAAGACGGATGGCTGTTTGGCCGAGTGGTTAAGGCGACAGACTTGAATTTCCATGTTCAGATATCTGTTGGGTTCGCCCGCAGAGGTTCGATCCCTCTAGCAGCCGGTTTCTTTTTGCATTTTTGGAAGAACCTTTTGTGTTTTTTGTGTCCTTGCTACATCCATTTCCAGGCGCCTCCTTGAGACTCTCCCAACTCCTGCACGTTCTGAGATGGATAGGCGATGACGCTGTTTAGCTGTTTAGGTTATTCGTGTTGATGACTAAGGCTACCTGCATCGGCAGAGTCCCAAGGCTAACTAACCTCCTGGCACGTGGAAACAACTGCAAGTCATTTAAATCCTCAACTATTGAGTGATTTGGATGACTTCCAGGCAAAGGAGTGTCGAATGCACCATGCTCGAGTCGCTTGTGTCAAGTTGCGGCTCCCAAATAAGCTCTATTAAGAGGCATGCCGCTTTCTCCTTCCCAGTTCCTCGCCAGGCGCCCCTTCTCATGAGGGTTAGGGCCTCCTTCCTCTTTTTCTCGTCTGTCATCATTTGACAGCGAAAAGACTCAACCTGATGTTTCCAGTACTTCACTCTTCAGACCATCATTGAGTCTTGCCGGTCGCTGCCGATTCCACCACTCTTCTCTGGTCCTCGGGCGAGAACATGGTCGTTCCCTGCTGCAGCGCGCCGACAAGAACCTGCATCGCTTCGTTCCTGAAGTCGTCTGCGGAGCGCATCTTGTCCAGGTCTTCGGCAAACTCTTTGGTGACGCGCTGGAGGTAGTACGAGGCGAACTCGGATGCTACCTCCTGGTTTGACTTGCTGGTATTTTCGGTGTCTGACATGTTGAAATTCTTTGCGCAGACCTGTGTTGGTAATGTCGCAAGGGGGTGCGTGAGGACTTCAGATCTTGAGTCGAGGTGGTCGTCACGCTCGGTTGTGAAATTGAATGTTGCGTTTGAAGACTGGAGTTTATCGAGCTGCCAGGGGCTGAAATAAAAATGACAGGCGCCGTCTGGAGGGCAGGTGCTGGCAGGTGCCACTGGAGGACTGTGATCGAACCCTCTCAACGCTGGCACCTGCCTCCTTAAACATGAGGTGTATCAACACAAATGTAGAGTATCAAATAGTTCAACCAACACCACAGCAAACCCCCCTTTAACTGCGTCTATTCCATTTTATTTATCGACGGCCACATCTTCATGAGATCTCTAAGCTAAGTTCCTCGAATTATACCGTTGAACCCTCTTTCGGGTCCTGGCGGGGTACCCTCTTCGAGGCCGACTAGAACTGGTGCCGAGTAAAACTGCGATCTTTTTACGAGCTCTTTTTTGATATTACATATCATCTTCGCATTCCATATCCTCTGAGTCCATCTCTTCCGAATCCGTCCTCCCCACAGTCTGTTTCCTCCAGATCGCCTCCGTCCCACTCGCCCCTTGATCACTAGTAAACCTGCCCTGGGAAGAGCAAGCGAGTCGCGAGTAGGCTGTCTGGTGGGGGCGAGAACATCGGCCGGCTTGCTAGCGAACTGGGAAGCTGGGAAGGGGCAAGGTTTACGATGACCAAAAAAGGGAAGTGGGGCAATATCAGGATTGGACTGGTTAGCCGGGAACCCCAACTCCATCTCCGGGTCACTCTTCATCCCTCTGAGTTAGTCTACCATCTCTTCCGAGAGTTTCCCAGACGCTCTGAGACGCACGGGGCCAACAAAGCAGCTTCCAACAGCAACGAGGTCCATCACCGTTTGGACCTCACCATGAGGGTACACCATCACGTCTGTTGGTTTCTTTGAGACGAGTTGAATCATGGACTTGGCTGCATCACCGGGCATCCAACACTTGGGCACCCAAGGATACCGACCACGGCCAGATCCTCGCTCCCCCAGACCGCTGTAATGCTCCCAATAGCGAGGTTAGGTGTAATGCCCCGAGGCTCTCCAATCGAAAAATAGGCCCAGGTTCATCTAATCCGTCTCAGATCGGTTCAAAAATCCGGACTTGGGACCGAGCGAAGCGATGTCTTCCATCTGCGAACTACGCATGGAACTGGGGACAGTGCATCCAATTTTGTGTCACTCAACAAGCGGCGCCAGCAGGGAGATAAGCGATCTTGACTCGGGTATTTGTCGCTTGTAGGACGCTAGGCTCTCGATAACCGACTTGACGAATCTGAACGGGTGTATGTACTAGCTCATACCGTAATATTGCCAATCAGTAGTCCTTTTCGCATCTTAATAACTAAAGTAAAGAGGCGAGTGTTCTTAGGAAGGAAATCACAGTCAAGCTAGGTAGCTGATAAGGGTTAAGAGCATGATTCATTCCTACTTGGCTCCTCTGCCAAATTGACCTCCTTCCTTAGGTTGAATCCCATCCTTTTCGCCATTTGGCTCCATCGACTCGGACTCTTCACTCTGTCGTCTCTTCTCTCTGTCGTCTCTTCTCTCTGTCGTCTCTTCTCTCTGTCGTCTCTTCTCTCTGTCGTCTCTTCTCTCTGTCGTCTCTTCTCTCTGTCGTCTCTTCTCTCTGTCGTCTCTTCTCTCTGTCGTCTCTTCTCTCTGTCGTCTCTTCTCTCTCCCGTACGCCTTTGGCCACCTGTTTGATGAGCCAGCCAACCTCATCCTTGTCCTCAAGATCAAGAATCTAAGTCTCACCACACTCCGTGTCCGGGGTAGAGGTCTCACTTGAGTTTCCCGTTGTCGTCAACATCATCAAAGGGACTAGGTCGTCCCTCGGGCGTTTGGGGGAAATACTGATCGAAGTTGAGCTCGGCATATGATCCGTAGGTTCTGGATAGGTCTAGCTTGAGCTGACCCAGGCGAGGGTCATCAGAGCCCGTTTCGATGTATGCCATAACGATGGCTGGGACAGGCAACCCGAAGGTCGTCATGAACTTGTCGACATCCTCCAGGAGCCACTCCTTGTCTTCCTCGTTGCCATCAAAGCCTTTATCAAAGAGTCTCAGAGAGGAAATAAACTTCTTGTTCTCATGACTCTCCCTACCAAGGTTTGTGATAGACTTCGCCACATGCTCCATTGTCACCTTGCCTCTGAGTAGATTCCCCATGAGCCACAAAGGCTCCGTTTTGTCTACTTTCAACACCTTGACAACAACATCGAGAGGGATGATGACGTCCAGCCAAGCTTTGTAGAAGGGGATGACCTGGTCAAGGGCATCGATGATGCTGACATCCATGCCTGAGCCTCGTCGATCGCATAGACCTCTGAGGCCTGCCCAGAAACGGCTAGGCCGCTCTTCGCCGTCTTTGATGACCTTCCGGAAGTCCTCCCACAAAGCAGCTTCCCGAAGCTTTGGGTTGTTGGGGCCAAGGATAGGGACAGGGCCAGCCAAATCGTTAAATGAGGACATGGTTTTGATGCGAATGAGGCCTGTAAAGTCGTCGAGAACGATATCCTCTACTCGGATATCAAATTTTCTGATGAGTTCAAGGACCTTGCTCTGGGTTTCGCGTATGATGCGACGTTGACCTGGTGCGAGTTCATCCTCAAGGCGTTGCTGCAAGTCATGAGCAGGGGCTGGTCGATAGTTGGCAGCGTTTCGCTTTACAGGACGCATCATAAGCTCGAGTTCATCTCGCTTTCGTTTGATATCATCCCTGTTAGCTTGAGAAGCGAAGTTGTCGCCAAGGTCCTTGTGGTTGCCTTCAATAGGTTTGGCTCGTCTCTTCTGGTTGTTGGGACCAGCCATGGTGGTGGTTATCGCTTGAGGGGTTGTAGGAGGAAGAATCTGGAAGAGTTGGTAAGGTCAATGTGTGTTTGGTTGTCAGCGCATGCGGTGCCCAACTCACTGAGGTGGTCGTGAGCGCTCGAATGGTAGCAAGATAACGGTCGGGTAAGAGAAGTCAGTGTTTTCGGGAAGGAGTCGAAGGGGAGACGGGTAGCCGTAGAGACACGATATGAAGTCCGAGGTTCCCAGCTGTGCTCGTGAGTCCTTCCTTCGTTGGAAAAGGAAGAAGTTGAAAGGAAGATGGGCGAGGATGGTGGTCCTCGGAAGGAATCGAAGAGGAGACGGGTAGTCGTGGAGAAATGAGTGAGGATTCACAGGTCCCCAGTTGGGTTCGTAGGTTCTTTCCTTGTTTGAGAAATTAGAAACAGCTTGTACGGATGAGATTCTAGGATGTTTCGAGGTCCCGTGTCGAACTGACGGGTTTTGGTGTAAAGTTGGGGAGTCTCCCCTAGTGGCTAGAAACTTTCCACAGTAAATTTCATATCGATTCTTTCCTCATTTGAGGATTTCAGAGCTACTCATGAGTTTGGCATATTTGAGGTGCCGTCTCGAGGTGACGACGGGGTTTGATCACGAGCTCACCACTCATGTCAACCCTCGAGAACTAGGTAAAGTACCCAAGGCACAGGCACAGGCACCCCACGCTCCTTCCTACGTTCAAAATTTTCTCTTCCTAACAATTTCTTTTTCCACACTTCAGACGATACAAACTGGCCTAAGTTCCCATTCCCACCCAGTATACAAAAACAGGCGGTCTCATGTACTTGCCACCGTTTCCACCCAGAAGACATGTGGGATTCCTAGCACATCAAAACACTTTGCGGTATTATGCTGTCATAGGCAGCTACATCACTGACCCATTTCTTGTCAATTCAGAAATACGTGATGAATAAGACCAAGAGCGCCGCCACCAACTGCCGTCCTGTGAACTTGCCATCGGCAATAAGAGGGACCTAAAATTTTCCCTTTCTATTGTCCACCCCATAGCCAACAGCTAGCCAGGGCTTAGTGGTCAGGGCAGAGCAGTCAAGCTCACCTTTGGTGGCGGTTAGGCGGGCGTCGAGGAATTCGATGTCGTTGGCACTCTTCAGTACCTCCAAGACGGACCGAGAAAGCGGACGACAGTAGAGAATAGCCCATATTAGGTCCTCTCAACCGCTAGGCACCGACAAACGGGCCCTCGCGGAAGATGCTACTTTGGAAGGTAGCCGCATGTCGGCGACGGTGAAGCATGCCCGCCCTGTCTTACGCTTATTTTGGAGCTCATTGCATAATTCCATTGCAAACCCAAGGTATTCGTTGTCGTCAAGCGGCAGAGAGCCGAGGCTGCAAGAGCTGGACAAGCTCGCGTCAGACTCTTTCTTCGGCTTC